TGCTTCATCAGTTGTTAAATTGGTCCACTTTGAAAAACAAACTCTGCCGAAATCTGAAGAAAGACGCTAATAGAAGTGAAACATGCAGGGCTTTAAGAACCTTTTGTTGCTTCTCTGGTTTTGAGGATATTTAATCATTTCTTTTCTGTGTGAGAAACTTAAAAATGTACGGAGCTCCCGAGATGACATCAGGGGATTATTTTCTCATGTGTTACTTCACAATAGTTGTTCATTACAGTTTATTAATAAAGTTACAGAGTTACTACTTTAACAGACCTTTTCATAGTTCCCTTTCGGTCAACTCGGTACAACACATAAGTATGAGGATTGCGCCCTCGCGAGACCAACCTGAAGAAGTTTCTTTCAACACGCCTGCTAAGGCCAATGAGATTGTTGCACGCATCTCCAGGAGGCCCCGCCCTCCTGTATATAAGTTACTGCGCAGTCTCATTTCTTCAATCTTTTTGCGCTTCACCTCGCTTTAACCTGCAACAGATGTCTTGTAGCTGACTTAACTGTCCGATCGGAGGTGAGCTAGCTCCCTGCCCAGGGCGTCACTACAAGTGGTTCTGTACCTTTGCTGGTTTAGCCAGCTGACCAGCAACACCCGTTTAACATAGCTAACAGAAAATAATTTCTGCTTCACTGACTTCTGACTTGTTTAGCTTGTTAACGTGGGAAAACCTCTTAGCAGAACAACATCCTACTTTGTCTGTTTTGCTTGCTAACTGACAAACTACCTCTCTTCTGCCGTTTTAATGGCGCCAGAGAAGAGTAAGACAGGACTCCCAGCCCCTAGCAAGTCTAGCAAGGCTGTGAGCCCGGGTTCACGTGCGTGTCCGAGCGCTTGTGGTTTTTTTCTATCGGAGAAGGATAACCATGACGCTTGTCCAGTGCGTCTCGGCATGTTGCATGTGAAAGCTGCACTTGCTAACCCGGAGTCATGTGCTCACTGTAGCCGACTCCGTAAGTTGACCCTGGAAAGGTGGGTGGGATTCCTCCCTAAGTTACTGGGAAATTCAGCCGCAGCCAAGGACCCGCTGTTGTCCGAGACCCTCGAACCAACCTCGGAGTTGGAACTCGAGGAGACCAAGGACACCGCTTCGGCGCCATATTGGGGCAAACAGGTGGACGAGATCCTCCCCACCGAGGACGTGGAGGAGGACCTGACCGGGTTCGACATGCAGACTAGGCTGCTGGCGGACGACGAAATCTCCCTGGCGGCCTCAGGTGGTCTCTCAGAGGAGGAAACCGGCACTGGCGGGGAGGCTGAGGAGCTGTTCTCAGGAGGCGGTGGAAACACCTGCCGAAGCGGACAGATCCACCTCAGCCATGTTCGAGCTGTGCCGCAGAGCGGCCGAGCGTCTCGACGTGCTGTGGCCGGCCCCGCCGCCGCTTTACCGCCAGGACTGTTTGGACAAGTTCTGGAGAAGATCCAGACCCGCTGTGATCAAAGAAGGAAACAGGAAAAGGCCCTGCGACTGGGGATGCCCAGACGCCAGTACTCTCAATCCAGAGCCCCCCAGTGATCACAGGAGCGCGCCTCAGCGTCAGCGCTCCCAGTCCCGACGCCCTGCACAGAAAAGGCCTTCGCCGGAGTCCGAACCGCAACAGCCACCTTTCCCTGTGGCTCAGCGAGGGCGCCTGCATGGTCCAAGCACCGCTTTGTCCCGAAGCAGGCGGGGGCGCCAAAACCCTCATCAGCAGTGAGGGAGAAAAAGCAACAGTCAGCCTAGCTTCACAGCTGAAAGACTTAAAATCAGAGCTGTTCCACCCACCGGGAAAAAGGAAAGCTCCACAGATACAGTCTGCATCGGAGTCAAAAAGACCCAGATTAAGCAGACTAACGTGCACAACCACTCCACGCATGCACACACACACTCTCCCCACAAGGCCGGATTAACCATATGGGCAATTGGGCAATTGCCCAGGGGCCCACGGTCTCCAAAGGGCCCTGGGCAGTGAAGGCACGGACACAACGGATGCGGGATATGCGTGGACATGTCTCCCCGCACTTCCTGCATCTGCGCTCTCTGTCCCCGCACTTTTCTCAGCCGTAACAGCTGCTTTATCCATTATTAACATTATGCCACCATAAGTGTGCGCAAGCTACTCCTGCAGATGAGATGACTGATAGGAGCTGCTGTGCTGAGCAGAGCCTCGTGGTGTAAAGAGCAACTAAAACTTCGCACAGTTTTTACCAAACAAACCATGTAAGTTGTCATGCTGTTGGAGGCAGATAATGTTAGCTAAATGATGAGTTACACATTATATAATGTTTAGCTAYWTAACATGATTAGTTGTTGTTACCTGTTACATCCCTTGCCAAGCTAAACCCAGTCGTCTTTCATTTCTGTGCAGAAGTCATGCTGGCTGCTTTCCACATATTTAAAATAAATCTTCATTGCCACAGAACAAGGTCAGGGAGCAGACACACCAGATAGCCTACAGCAGCAGGGATCATAATGCAGACWTTCCTCAGGTAAGGAGAAATTATGACTATTATTCTTGAAGTGGAACAGTCTTTAAAAACTGGTGTATAGTTTGAAGTCTCTACTTTTGACATAATTTGTAACAGAGTCTCAGAGAATTAACCACAGAAAGATGGAGGTTAAATCACATGACTGGATCACATCCTGTTGTTGTTGTTGAGAAACCAGACAGGTATCAGGACAGGGTTCACAGATATTTCAGAACTACTCTTCATACTCC